CAAAAAAAACCCCCACCTGAAATTAATAAGCGAGGGTGGGAAGGGGGACGCTTATTCGATACCTCTATAGATGATTTTCTTTTCGCATTGATCCTCGTTCTCCTCACTACAAAACCTGGCTGGCCTTCTGAGAGAGACTAGGAAGAAGAGGTTGTTTGTACAAGTGATTGTCTTATACAGGTGGCCGTTACAGCAGGTACCACGGTACTTCACATGAGACATAACACTTTTTTGGCGATTTACAGGGTGAAGGTTAATTAACTCAAAGGGGTAATAGAAAGGTTTATGTCACCCAAAGATGTTCCACAAACACACATACACATACCCACATATACCAACACAAATACACACACACACACACACACAAACACACATACGCATACCCACATATACCAACACAAATACATTGTACACACATATATACATAAACAAACATACACATACCCACATATTCATCAACACAAATACACACACACACACACACACACACACACACACACACACACACACACACACACACACATACAGACACACACACTTACACATATTATATATATACATATACTCATATATAGACCTTTATTCACAAATACACACACACACACATACACACACACATACACACACATATTATACACAAATACAGATAGATCTATACAAACATACATACACACGTGTACATACATGCATACATACATTGACATACACGCATACACACACACAAACACACACACACATAAACATATACGCACATAAACACAATTATGCATACGCTCATACACACATACGCACACATACACATGTACAAAAATGTTCCCATAAATATGCAAACATACAGACACAGACACACACTCTGACACTCACAAACATATTATATACACACACATAGACACATATACACACATACATACACAAATACACACATACACACAAACACACACGTCCACACATACAAACATACAAACGCATACACACATACAAACGCAAACACACACATGTACACATTCATGCACACATACACTCATATACACACACAACAAACACATACACACATATGAACACATATATTATACATACAAACATACACTCATATACACACATATACACACATACACACACACACACACACACACACACACA